ATACTATTATTCCATGAAATTCTCTATTTGTATCCATGTATTATAAAATTGTTTGTAAACCATTTTATATTTATATAGATGTAATATTTATATAATTGTGATAAATTAGACCTTCGATTAAATAAGTTTACCCTAAGTCTACAACCACACAACGAACAGGAAATGGGGTGAAATTACATGGGTACAAACAGAGGTTATAAGTGTTTGACACATCATCTCAAAAAACTATAATTCTGCTGTCGTATGTTGTAGGTTTTAATGCGATCACCATTGCTTTGATTTGTGATGCTAGACCCCAGATATATCACTCAATCTTCTTATATTCAGGGGTTATAAGTGTTGTACACATCATCGCTAGGTTATTGAATCTAGCAGTATAAGCATTTATCTCTGAACCCTTCATTGTTAAGTTCCATAATTCTTGTTACGGATTTTGTATTTCCTTTCTTGGATAATACTCCTCTACTAACATCATCATTAACTCCTCCCATTTAATGGATTTTGCAACATTAATTTCCATTTTATTTAGATGGTTGTTCCGACATGTTAATGCCGCATCAGCAAAAGTACATGTTGCAAATCATACTTTACAGTCATCTGGGCAGAAACTTATTTGAAATACAGATTTTTCCTTTTCCATCCACCTAGTAAAATTAACAACCCCTTCAGTTCCATGGAAGCTCTTTGGTTTGCAATTCATAAAGTCCTTGTAGGTACATATTCTAGTTGTTCTGACATTGCTTTCATTTCTGATTCCACCTGTTGTGACGTTTAATAGAGCTGCAACAATCCTTTGAGCTATATTTTCTTCAAGTTCTGCTGAACTTATTAAGGGGTTTATTTATGGTGATGGATGTTGTTGTTGTTGTTGTTGTTGTTGTTGTGGTTTTGATGTTCAGTTAAGGTGTAGTCGAGCACTACTTCTTCTAGGCATTTTGTTTAGTTCTTATTATAAATAGTAGGAATATTATGAGTTTTATGAACACTATTTGGCACATGATTGTTGTAATATATGCTTCATATTATTACTAGCTGTTTACATCAGTTTATTTTAGGCATATAAGACAAACTTTTTGAAAAAATTGCAATGTTTACTACACCCTTGTTATAACCCTTTTCCCTTTTTCCTTAATTAGTCTGAGTTTTCATCTCCTATTTTACACAAACACTATTTCTACTATTATATACCAGTACCCTAGGTGATGACCTAGTGCGTCAGTGATGTGAACCATTTGTTCCTCAAGGGCTTGATTTCTGTTTGACTGGCAAACCAACAAATAATGGGATAAAATAATATTAATAAAGCTCAAATCACTGGTATTTCTTATACTAAAGATAGTATAGAGTAAGCAGGGTCGATCCACAGGAATACAACACTTCTTATCTTGTCATATTTTCACAGAATATACAAATAATATTAAAACAGGGCATTGTGTTTGAACTTGAATTAAACTTCATAAATAAGAAAGATTGATAACAAAACACACTAAAAGAAGTACATTTCCAATTCTGACTCTTACACATGTATTATGTAGAAAAATGTGATATGATTATAACTCATGTTCAATCTAGGTTGGTAAGTTGGATATTAATAAACTCTAACATCCAAATTGGCAAACGTATTTTATTAAAAACAATCTCTTCAAATAAAACTCCATTTAATTGATTCAATTCAAATAAGCTCTTGCATCAAATCATTAAATGACATTAAGTTCTTGCACTAATTACCAACAATGTTTAACATTCCTCTTAAGCTTAGGAATATAAACATTTAATCTTTGATTGCACTAATTTTGATCTAATTACAACCAAGTAAGTGTGTGTTACTAACATCAAATCATATAACATATATGAATTTCATCATTTGATTAACTAGATTGACAAGAACCCTAATTCATTGATCAAGTGAAAAAGAGAACCAACCAAACACATGATTAAGATCAAATCAAAGATTACTAGATGTTAAACACAAGTAAATTCAAGTTACAACCTAACAACAAATACTTAAGAATTCAGATTCGGAAATGATAATGAAATCAACCACACATGCGTAGGTTGAACTACAAATCAAACAAGTTTAAACTTCAAATTGACTTACAAAAAGGAAATTAAAGTGTTTCCAAGTGTTATTCTACTTCAAAAAGCTCTGAAAATCACCTTCTCTCTGCCCAAAATCCAACCTAACTTCCCACCAAACTGATTGTCTGAATTATATGAGAGTAAAACTTCTTTAAAAATTGTCGAGACGTTTACATGGCCCGTGTAAATTAAAGGGTGCCATTTACATGACCGTGTAAACAAGAAAAGTAGAATGCTCAATCCTTACAGGCCTTCGAAGTAGAATTCTCTTGTATATACGTTTACACGGCCCGTGTAAATTATAAGCTATCATTTACACGGCCGTGTAAACTCCTGTGAAGCCAAATTCTCTATTTCTACATACTATATCTCTTCAACGCTCCAAAACTTCTGAAACTTTGTCTCCAACTCTTTATAACTTCCTCCATCAAGATCCAACCTTCAAAAATCCTTGAAATATCATAAAAGTGTGTGAATGGAATTGCATAATGAAAAATCCCGAAAAATATGCAAAATGCATGAGTTTAAACCTAAATACAATGCACTTTTATGAGCTAAAACTACAAAATGAATGCATGAAATGCACCTAACAAATCTCCCCAAGCTTGAACCTTTCTTGTCCTCAAGAAAGAACAAGAAGATTTAAACTGGAGAAAAATAAAATAGTAAGAAAATTAAAGTTAAAACTATTTGAAACTTAATGCATGGAATCAAAACAAACATGAAAAGATCCAACCCAATTACCCTGTTTTGAACCATAGTTGAGAATGTACCTGTCATGCCTTGAGTCAACTTGGCTTTAGTCTCAAAATACTATATGATAATAGAGAGAAGACTTTGGCCACTCCCTAGTACAACTCAATAGAATCAAAGATCACAACACTTATTTCTTTTCAATATCATCAAGTAAATTCTTGGAACAAATTATGGTCTTACTCTCGTGAAATTATATGTGACAAAACATGCTCAACCATCTTTGTTTCAAAAAATATAACAATTTCCGATTCCAGCTATTTGTTGGTCAACAACAATCTTTTTCTGAAAATCTTTTCTAAAAATACCCTAATATTGATCCAGATTCGTTGCAAACTTCAAACCACTTACACCAGTCGAAGTAATTAACATTCAATAAAATGTCATAAATTCAAATCCAAGTCCAAGGGAATCTTTTGATAGCCAAGTATTTTTCCTAAACACAATATTCAATTGAACTATAAACACAATTATATACAAACATCCTAATTACATTTTTTTACAAATAAAGCTCATGGATTTCTTTGAAATCCGTGTAACGGGCTTCCAACCAACACATCCAAATCAAATGACCTTAGTGTGCTAGATTTAAAGAGATCCCTCGGGTTTACTTGCCCGAACCTCAAAGACCACAGATTAGCATTATTTGCTATTATTAAGTTCATGAATTTCTATGGAACCCGTGTAACGAATTTTCAACTCAATCAGTCCCAAACAATTTAGCTATAGGCGATTAGGTGTAAAACACCCTAAGAGTTTACTCTTTCGAATCCCAAAGGTCACAGATTAACTTAATAATTGTTTTTTTATTATTATTAACATATATACAAACAACAAAGTTAACACATAACACTCTTATTAATTTATTTATTTATTTGGTCAATTTCTTTATATTTTCATCCTTGAATTTTCTATTGTGGGACATCTCACGGTCTATTATCGTGAGGGACTTCTAGACATTTTTAGGGGGATTAAATGTTAACACACAAAGACCCGTAAGTATAGTTGAAATCTATGTCCCCAAACAGGGTATATAAAAGGGAATGAGTAGAAAGGACTTTTAAGAGCACTGGAAGGCGGGACATTGAGATTTTGCATTCTTTTTTATGAACTTTTGAATTTGACATTTTAAGTTCAATTGAGCATTACTACTCATAAGACCGGTCATATGTCCCAAAGAATCGACTCATACCTGTTGTTATGCTCCAGTGTTGACAATCTTCTCATTTTCTGTTTTGCACAAGTAGCTTCGGGAGATGTGCTCGTGTGTGATTAACTTGCTTTCAAAATTTCAATAAAAAGAGCAGGTTAAATCTCAAGGCACACAACTCACTTACCATCTCAATTGTTTTGAAAAGATTCGGTTGCTTGGGATTGAATCAATTTTTCTTTTCGGAAATAATAATGCAAAAATTTAGATGCATAATGCAAAAAGTATAATAAAAATAGAGTAGAAAGAAAATCTTTTTGGTTTTTTTTTTTTTTGAAAATGTTTCTAAAAATCACAAAGAAAAATAATGCAATGCAATGCAATATGTACAAAATTACATGCAACGGGATAAGAAAAATAATGCAATGCAATGCAATATGTACAAAATTACATGCAACATGATAATGCATGGATGGATGCCCCTCCCAAACTTAAAATAAGCATCATCCTCGATGCTTGGAGAGAGGCATAGCCGTCCTATTGAGGACCGGGCGGTGGATATGGAGGGAACTGTGAAGTATAATATGTAGGATAATAGGGAGACCATTAGGGTTGGGATGATGATGGTTGTTGCGGCTGTGTGGGGAGCACAATAACTCTATGGATATCGCTCAACAGGTGATATATGTTGCGGTTGTGCTGCTCTTGAGCAGCCCATCTCTGATCCAGTTCAGCCCACCGCTACTCTTGTTGGGCCCAATGCTCTTTTTGCAAGTTACGGTAGTCATGAAAGTTAGAAGTGATTTCAGCGACACCTGTATAAATTTCCCTGACTTCCTGTTGTATGCTGGCATAACGGTGGTTCAAGCATGCAAACTCGCCCATATAAAGATTTTGTTCAGAAAAAAGGAATGGGGTGAGATGAGCTAGAGGCACCAGCAGTAGGAGCAGGAGGAGGAGAGATTGGAGGACTATGATCTACTGCAACACCTAAGTTGGATTTTAGTTTCCAAGTGATTTATGGAATGTCATTAGCTAAATTAAGTATCTTCTTGTTTCTGATGTCTATGCGAAGATACTCTTTCCTATATACTATCCAATGAACATCCCCAGTGGGAAGGCGGTGGAAAAGATGCATTGTTTCCATAACATCAATTGATAGACAAGTACAACCCATGACTATATTTGTTGGGTTATTAGGTAGATGGAGGCCAAGATGCTCAGCAATAATGGAAACCATGCCTCCACAATGTAGCTGCCCACCATTGCTCATAGCACTTCTAAGCATTTTCTGAATCACCCAACACCCAAAATGAGGGACTTCTACGGGCTTGTTAATCATACACCAGAAGACTTCTAGCTCATTCTTATTAGCCTTGCTAATCTCTTCTTGAGGGAATAAGAGAGAAGCAATGATCCGGTGGGCGACTTTCAAGACCGGATGGATAATGCTAGAAGCTTTGGCTGTGCCTGACTGATACTCATACTCACAAGAGATGCTTCTCCAAAAGCATGCACAGTTAGGCTTTAAAACAACATTTTCTTCCCTTTGCGGTGTATACATCCTTTCTTGCTTTGGGAGCACCAATCATATCACAAAGGATGTCAGCATGAAACTGATGGGTTTGTTTGACCAAACGGAAAGTTAGGAGATGGGTTTGATAGTCAAAGGTAACGGAGGACAAAAGTTCCAACATTGGTGTTTGATAACTAACTGCATGTAGATTCAAAAGACCTTCCCATCCTATGTTTTTGAAGAGTTTGTGGACACCCTTATAGATATGTAAATCCTTGAGGGCTTGGATGTCCACAAACTTTTGAGCACCCATTGATCTGGTAACAACATTTGCATACAAGATTTCCTGTCGATTGGTTTAAAAAATAAGACCAAATTCATAAGGGTTGTCCATGGCATGTGGGTCTTGTTCATCATGTGAAGTTCCAATTCTATGTCTTTTACCCCGGGAAGCCATTACCCAAATGAATCAACAAAATATTGCACATAATTTAGGACAATTGAAGAACAAGAACCAGCAAGTTTCACCAAAAATCACCCAAAAAGGAATATGGTTCTATCTAAATGAACAAAGTAAGAGTTTGGAACAATTATACCGATTTGTGCTTGAAAATGGTGGTAAGGTGATATCCAATGCTTCCCAAAGCTATCCCCAAGCTTATCCTACAAGAAATTTCAAGCATTAGGTCGAGATTTTGAAGTTAAAAAATTCTAGGGTTTTTTTCAAAAACTCCAAAATCGGCCATGAAAATGGTGGAATAGAGGTGGAAGATAAAGAAGATCAAGAAAAGAGAAGAATTTCATACCTTGGAGCTTGATTCTTGATGCAAAATTGAGGAAGATTGAGTATTTTGAAGGATTTTTAGAAAGGGGGCACTAAGGAGGAGAAGAATCATAGGTTAAGTGAAAAGAATGAGGTAAAAAAATCAAGTTTTGACCTTAAAATCGTTCAGCTCTGTTTTTACGTTTACACGGCTCGTGTAAACTAAAGGGGAGCATTTACTGGGCCGTGTAAACTCCTGAATCTGATATGCCGTGTTTGGTCATTTACACGGCCCGTGGAAACTATAAGCATAAGTTTACACGGCCATGTAAACCTCTGAGAAGGCCAAAATTTTTTGAGATTTTCACTTTTTCAAATTGCAACCAGCTAAACCACTACTACCCGAAAAATGATTTTTAACCCTCTTTTAGCATGAAAAACAACTTAGAAGTTTGAAAACAAAGAAAATACAATGAAAATATACGAAATGACAAAAATACCCCCCGGTTGCCTTCCGGTTAGCCGCCCCTTTTTAATGTCGTTAACTTGACTTGGACCCCAACTATTTGTGCTTCAGTCTTGATACGTGGACCTCTCTAACATATCATCACTCCTCACATGCTTCTTGTCATCAATAAACTCTAAAATTGCCAACACTTCATTATCCATATCAAACTTCTTTGCAAGCTCTTTGGCTTTGTCCCTGTCTAGTTTTCGTGACAAAACTAACTCTAGAAATTCATTATTAGACAAGTTCAAACCCTTTTTTGTTGAGGGATGAATCAAATTGACAAAATTAACAGATTGAACATCAAAAGGAGTCTTTTTTGCTTCACGCACATTGACGTTGATAACTTCACCATCAAATTCCATACTCAAAGTTCCATTGTAGACATCAATTTTTGTTTTAGAAGTTTTAAGAAAAGGTCTACCTAAAAGTATGGAACTTGAAATTGGAGAGTCATCATCTCCCAAATCTAAGACATAAAAATCAGTCGGGAAGACAAATTCATCGACTTGTACTAACACGTCCTCTAATACTCCCTTTGGGTGTACCAAAGACCGGTCAGCAAGTTGGATGATCACACCGGTTTTTCTCAATGTTCCTACACCAATTGATTTGAAAAGAGAATATGGTAGGACATTTACAGATGCACCTAGATCAAGCATAGCTCGGGGTACATAAAGGTTCCCCAACTTGCAAGGCATGGTAAAGACACCGGGATCCTTGCACTTCAGGGGCATCCACTTTTGCAAAACCACGAATGCATGCTCTCCAACTGTTACGACTTGATTTCATTTTAATTTCTTTTTAGATACACAAAGATCCTTAAGGAACCTTGCGTATCTAGGTACCTGCTTGATGACCTCGAGGAGTGGAATGTTGATTTGAACTCTCTTGAACATTTGCATGATCTCATTCTCCTCCCGTTCTTTCTTCGTGCTCTTTAATCTTTCAGGAAATGGAGCAAGTATGGCTTTAGACTCAGTGATGAATGGCTTCTTTTAGATTGTTTTCTCTTACTCCATCTCTTCTTTGGTTGCCTCTTCAACCACTATTTCTTCTTCCTTTTGATCAACCGACAATTTTGGACCATCATAGCTCTTCCCACCTCTCAATGTGATGGCACACACATTGTGCCTTGGGTTTGCTTCAGTTTGGGCAGGCAACTTTCCTTGAGATTCTAGTTTGCTTATGGAAATAGCAAGTTGTGAAACTTGTTTCTCTTAGTTCTTTATGCTTGATTTTGTCTATTGTTAGAAATCTTGTGTACTAGTTTCCAAACTTTTCACTATGTCCTCTAAAGACATACTTAATGAACCCGCTTGTTGAGGAGGGTGTTGTGGTTTCCTTGGCTAAAAGTTTTGTGGTGGAAAAGGTGGTCTTTGTTGGTATTGATGTGGTTGACTTGGTTGATAGTTCCCTTGTTGATTTCCTCCCCAACCTTGATTGTTGTTCTATCTTTGATCACCTCGTGGCTGTTCATATCCCCTTTGACTAGACCCAAGAAAACCTCCCATGGCTTTTGCTTCTTCATAATCTTCCTCTTGAAGTGGGGGGCACATGTCGGTTGGATCCCCCACTTGAGTACAAATAACACATGGACGGGGTGTGGTTTGCACACCTTTGTCTTTGGCTAGCATCATAACCACTTTCGTAAGCCCGGACAATTGAGCTTCAATTTGAGAAGTTGGGACCTCCTTTACACCTCGGGGTGCATCCATGTACCATTCTTCTTCTTGGACTGTATTCTTGGACTCTTCTGCCATATTCTTAATAAGAACTCTGATTTCGGTTGGAGTCTTATCAGCTATAGATCCACCGCTTGATGCATTGAGTAATCTTCTATCCCAAGATGACATTCCATCACAAAATACTGCAACAATTGATATTCGGTAATCCCATATTGTGGACATCTTGAGCACAATTTCATGAACCGTTCCCAATAAGTAAGCAAGGCTTCTCTCTTTTGTTGCTTGATACCAATTATCTCTCTGCGTAAAGCTGAAGCTCTCATTTCTGGAACATATTTATCCAAAAACATCCTTGCAAGTTCATTCCATATTGTGACTGACCCCGGTGGTAAGTCATATAAATACTCCTTGGCTGAATCTTGTAAAGCAAAGGGGAATGCCCTTAACTTGATTTGATCTTATGTAACTTCATGCAGCTTCATACCCACACTAAAACATGAAATTCCTTAAGGAATTTATGTGGGTCTTCATTCTTAAGACCACGGAATGAGGGTAACAAATGGATGAGTCCAGACTTGAGTTCAAAGTTGATTGTTGCAGGGTAATTTATACACAAAGGTTGTTAGGTGACATCTTAAGTTGCCCATTGTCTAAAGGTTTATTCAGGTGGTGGATGTGGAGGATTTTGACCATGGTTGTGTGCCATGGTAGGAGTAGGCGAAGATGGTGGGGTGATACTTTTGGATATTGGTGAAGATGGGGTTGATGCATTTGATGAAGAAGCTCCGGATTGTTGTTGTTTCTTTAAAATTCTAGCTTGCTTCCTTCTTTGTTTAGTAGATTTCTCTATCTCCAAATCAACTGGTAAAGGTGTACCTGTGTGAAAAGATCTTGGCATACACAATTAGTACTACCGTATCCCCGGCAACGGCGCCAATTTGTTAGGCTGTCAAACCAACAAATAATGGGATAAAATAATATTAATAAAGCTCAAATCACTGCTATTTCTTATACTAAAGATAGTATAGAGTAAGCAGGGTCGGTCCATAGGAATACAGGACTTCTTATCTTGCCATATTTTCACACAATATACAAATAATATTAAAATAGGGGATGGTGTTTGAAATTGAATTAAACTTCATAAATAAGAAAGATTGATAACAAAACACAGTAAAAGAAGTAGATTTCCGATTTTGACTCTTATACATGTATTATGCTGAAAAATGTAATATGATTATAACTCATGTTCAATATAGGTTTGTAAGTTAGATATTAATAAACTCTAATATCCAAATTGGCAAAAGTATTTTATTCAAAACAAGCACTTCAAAAAAAACTTCATTTAGTTGATTCATTTCAAATAAGGTCTTGCATCAAATCATTAAATGACATTAAGTTCTTGCACTAATTACCAACAATGTTTAACATTCCTCCTAAGCTTAGGAATATAAATATTTAATCTTTGATTGCACTAATTTTGATCTAATTACAACCAAGTAAGTGTGTGTTACTAACATCAAATCATAAAACATATATGAATTTCATAATTTGATTAACTAGATTGACTAGAACCCAAATTCATTGATCAAGTGAAAAAGAGAACCAACCAAACACATGATTAAGATGAAATTAAAGATTACTAGATGTTAACCACAAGTCAAATTCAAGTTACAACCTAAGAACACATACTTAAGAATTTAGATTCGGAAATGATAATGAAATCAACCATACATGTCTAGGTTGAAGTACAAATCAAACAAGTTTAAACTTCAAATTGACTTACAAAAAGGAAATTAAAGTGTTTCCAAGTGTTAATCTACTTCCAAAAGCTCTGAAAATCGCCTTCTCTCTACCCAAAATCCAACCTAACTTCCCACCAAACTGATTGTCTGAATTATATGAGAGTAAAACTTCTTTAAAAACTATCGATACGTTTACATGACCTGTGTAAATTAAAGGGTGCCATTTACACGGACGTGTAAACAAGACCTGTGTAAATTCCAGGCCTTCGAAGTAGAATGCTCTTGTATATATGATTACACGGCCCGTGTAAATTATAAGCTATATTTACACGGCCGTGTGAACTCCT